GCAAAATATGACAATCATGTGCGCTGTGCTGAAATGATAGGGCAAATAGCGGACAAAATGAAAAGTGAACTGCTACTAAAGTGAAGGACACGCATTATCTGTCCATTATGATTGATGGAGACACGGACGTTTCTACGAAAGCGTGCGAGGTACGTTTGGCTAATTGAAGATGGGAAACCAGTGAATAAACTTGACAGACAGCAAGAAGACTGATGTCCATTGAAAACATTCAACACTGTTAATTTTCCATGTTTAAATGTGAAAGAACCAATTTAATTGCTGTTCAACAATATATAACTGCATTTCTGATCAATATCAAATTAATTTCACCAATAAACATGTTTACTAACTGTCCACCTGGGTGTTACAAAATGTTTCTTTGTACTACTAAAATTTTTAACTTGCTAGCACCAGTGCTACCACCTAAAAAAGTAAGCGTACAGCCCTGCTGCATCACATTATCACATGCCTTTGACTTTGTTATGATGTTAGAGCAGGAAAAACATAAATTATATATATATATATATATATATATATATATATATATACATATACATCAACACCTATAAAAGGCATAGGTTTCAAACCAAGTACGAGACCTCGTGTTGAGTTGGAGGAGAAAGAGGGAGAAACTTAAACAGAGCTAGCAGACCCTCATGACTCAACATATCACCCTGGCGACTCTGTTATTACAGAGGAATCTGAGCAAAAATTTATTCTTTTAGCTTAGTTTTACCCTCAGCAAAGGTTGTAAAACATATGCACTATATGCATATGCAGTAATTTGAAAATTATTTTATTTTTCTTACCAACATTTTTTTTTTTTTTAATTCGTTTATTTTTTTTATCAGGGACCATGCACAGAGAACATTGGACTCAACAGAGTAAAGATGCACTGCACCAGATTATAGCTTTTTAGCTAGTTTCCATCTGCAGTCCCTGAGGCAGGCAAAAGAAGAAATAACGAGAAAAATTAAAATATTACAAAGAGACATATAAAAAGACAGACTGAAACGGTACAAGAAAATAGAGTGCATTGAAATCCATGGGACAACGCACACACAGCGTCCAAAGTGCGAGTGCTCACAGTTCCAGAAAACAGTCATACAAGGTGCACATGCCCATACAGAGCGCACAGTGCAATGAGGCAGATAGAACACCCACATGTCTCATTTGGTCTTCATGTAATCTGTACATAAATTGCATGGTGCAAGATGAAAACAAAATAATTACAGCACAACATAATCATCATCAGATTAAAGGTATGAAATGGTTGTGGCAATACTTGAAATATATACAAGAAAGGTAGATTCAGGGAAACAATTAATAAAAAACAAAAGGAACTCAATATTTGAATTCAGTATTTTACAGACTGTAGATGACCTGATGAGGCCCTTCTTGCCCAAAATCTCCATCCCAAAGGACCTGGCATCCCAGTATGAGAGACCATAAAAGGAGGAAGTGGTTGCCTTAGACGTCTCTCACTTTAGCCAAGGGGCAGCACGATGGCCAACGCAGTGACCAGCCAGAACAGGAAACTTGTGGTGTATCGGTAGTACAACACAGGATGGGATAGATGCCTGAATGGAAAGAATTGGACACTATTAGTGTTGCATATAAAATGCTACTGTGTTTATATTTATACATCTATAGTACATGTTTTGTAGTTTTTGTTTTTTACATTTGCTGATAATAAAGTTCTTATGACAAAATACTTATTTGTCATTTCTTTATGTGTTTTTTTTTTTTTTTTTTGTATAATGAAACCAAAGTGTTCAGAATTGAGTTTACACAGTTGTATCTCATTACATGTCATAAAAACATACTCTTCTTCAGTTCTGTGCCATAAGGGTCCATAGTCATACGTGTAAATGTTGTGGGTGTTCTGTGGGGTATACGGATTCAAACAGTCAGGCTCCAGGCCTGGATGGTGTATCAAGCATGTAGGATGAACTGGAACCTGGTCCATTACCCCAAAACTAATAGGAAAAAAAAAGACACAAGGCATACTGTTTAATAAGTAAGCAAATATAGGATCAAGAGTCAACATCACTGCATAAAACAAATACTGATCCAGGAAGCAACAGTGTTTTTCTATGAAACTCTGATTTCATATAAATGATGTGGAGAAACTGTGATACATTGGTACATTGTACATACTGTAGATTACAAACACAAGGTGAAGATGATTATAAAATGCAGCTACATTTTGGAAAAATGGTTTCAGTAAACATGACAGCTAAGACATCTGAATGTACCAGTTATTTCTATTATGTTTTTGTATAATACAGAAATCTGTCATCTCAATCTGCTGTGGTAAAATTGATGAATTCACGGGTTAATACTTTTGTGGTTTTAACGGGGAATGTGGTAGTAGCAGAATTTATAATACCTTTGGTATTATTACCCAACACATGCTACATGCTAGTCTGATAATAGATAAGGCTGCTTAGATTAAAAGAACTTATTCTTTACACCACGTCATGTAACAGCTGAATGCTGCTGTTGGTGTTTCCACATTATGTAGTAACTGACTATATTCTTAGAAACCTTTTGGATTCTGCAGCAGATGTTTCCAACTTTATTTAGTCAGAGGGCAGACATACAGTTATTACCATAACGTCAGATAAGTTACAGTTATAATGTTACAGCTGAAATATAAGACGGCTACAAAATAAAAACTTACCACTGAGGAGAAAAGTCCAGCTCCAGTGTTTGTTTCGAAGCGGAGTCTGTCGGCTTGTGTTTCTTCACTCAAATTGATGAGGGGGAACAGACGCCATTTTTAGCTTAGCCTCTGTTGTTGTTTTGAGGCAGCCTCTGGAGGTGAAGTCATATAAGGTAAGGGGCGTGACATTTCCGACATGCTCTAAGTGTTGCACCAATCAGAGCAGACTGAGCAAGCTGACCAATCAGAGCAGACTGGGCTGCTGGGGAGGCGAGACATATCATCATGTGCCGAAGCAGTGAGCAGTACAAGACAAATAATGTATGTATTGAACATTAAATAGACTTGCACCGATTACAATTTTTTTGGCCGATACCAATTTCCGATTTGCAGAGTGTTTGGATGGCCGATTCCGATTTTGGCCAATTCCGATTTCATTTCTTTCAAACCACTTTACAGCACACAAGATACTGCAATATTTTCTATCTTTGCTTTATTAGAACATTTTAACCAAGATACAACCAGCTTTCAATAATTATCTCAAACAAACAAAAACAGTGACATGTTTATTAACCTGTTATTAACTTCAGGTACAGTATTAAAATAAATAAGTAAAAAAAGGCATACATAAATAAAAACATAGATAAATAAAATAATAATTCTTGGTGTATAGCATTTGTGGGTAATTTCTTGAATAGACAAAAAAGTAAAAAATATCTTCTGTGGAATATTCACACAGGTCTTCAGGACCCGCCGGCCAGTAAGTGCGCGGACATGCACCTCATCAGTTTCAAGCGGCACAGTGCAGCAGTAAGAGCTCCGCAGTTCAGTTTAACATGGACAGTTAACAACTTTCTTCTTCTCTCTTTTGATGTATGTGCGTGAATGATTAAGGTTTTACTTCCTCACATCGCCCAGCTGTGAGTTGCACATGTGCGTGTGTGTGCGCTGCTGATGTTACACGATGTCAATCATGCGGCCTGTTGGGAATTCGACCGGCATTTTAATTCGGCATATTTTAGACTGACTGGCTGGTCACAGGTCATGGCCGATCACATGAAAACCGGCCCGATTCCGAGCACTGCCGATAAATCGGTGCAAGTCTAACATTAAAGCACACAAATCTATTCCAATAGATCCCAATATTACATACTTATATGAATATGACCCTGAAAAAAGCATAGTAGGTCTCCTTTAGTGCACCAGAGCTGGATGACCCACCTGCTGGTTCCCGGTGTGCTGATCAGCTACAACAGCACCAGAGAGAGAGTTATGCATAAGAAGGGGACTGTGTGCTGGTGTTGTTCTGCAGTTGTAGAGCAATGGTAATGGAAAACACATTCAGCATATATTAACATCACCAAGATGTGCTGATGACTGGGACAAGGGGAAAAAAAACTCCTTATCCCTGCTACTTTCAAGCAGCCTTAAAACGCAAAAGCAAAATGGGATTTGGTGTAGACGTTGCAGGTGTATTAATAGAAACATACTGAATATGATAACGCACAGTGCGGCATGACCCAGATGTGCTGATCACTGGCACCCTTCTATAATGTAGTCTGTAATGACATGACAAGATATAACAACCTCAACAAAATAACCAATAACCACCAGATGATATTTTTCCTGGTGGTGCACTGGTGGAAGTGGAGCGCAATGTGGTATGGTATAGTAAAGCGTTACGTGACATTGTAAATGTAATAATATTTCCTGAAATCCTGTTGGTAATGTGTTATATTACTTTGTTACTGCTAAAACATAATACATTACTGTAACGTGTTACTTTTGTCACTCATTACATTAATTCAACACCAGCTCAATAGGGTTGTGAAGTCCAAATTGGGCTATGAGAAGACAAACACTAAGCGGAAGAAAGTGAATGGTTAGTGACAGACATAACCAACCAACTGGGTCATCAGATATATCTACTGGGGATGAACCCAGCATTGCTACACATTCCCTTGGTGATGTTTTGGTTAATTATAATCCTTACGAATTTAATCTGTTTGTTTACTGGAGGTACAGCCGAGTGCATGTGTGCTGTGGTGGAACATTTGAGGAAAATGATGAGATTGAATGGTATAATTGCTATTCACAAGTGGCCAGTGTGGAATAACAGCTACAATAATTGATTGTAACATAATGCTAATGTGGATATGGTACAACGAATCTTATATGTTTTTTTTTCCTGAATAATATTTTTTCACATTTCCAACTGCAAAGCACACACACAAACACACATCTGTACACTGTGCACTCACACAAACACACTGCAATAATAGCTTGCAACCACACACACACACACACACACACACACACACCAAGTACTCACGGAGCTGGTGAATGTCTCTCCAGCCCCTGCTGGCAGGACAGGCAGTGATGGTAACCAATGGACATGAGTTTCCAGCCAAACTGCCACAAAGAATCTGCTGCTGGAAAAACACTTTGGTGGGATCCACTGATTTCTTCAGGACCTTCAGATGAGCCTGACAGACACAATAAATGGACAACTGAGTGGTCATGTTCATGGACATAGAAGTTCTGATGCCTATGCAGTGCAGTCATGTACAGCACCATGTTTTCCTTTGGGATGCCTTCTTTACTTCGGCAGATAGCATTTGAAATAAACCAGGGACAGTGAGCTTAACTTTCATCTCACTCAGGTTGTTTGAAGGTATTAAAATCTTAATGGATGAACAGTGTCATATTTACTTGATCTTCGTACCATCACCATTTGTGGCAACTAAAGCACTATCCTTCATAGTTTTAGTCCAGTTTTAGTCCAGGAAAATTCAAAATGTTTTAGTCAATGAAAATTAGTGAGATTGTAGTTAACTTTTAGTCATTGTGTTTTCTTTGGGTTTTTTTTTCTGTTTTTTTTTAATCTTTAAACTAATCCAGTAAGGCTATTTTTTTCTACAACTACAAAATATTTCTACAAGCTTACAAACTATCATTTTTCCAGCAGTGTTTGACGGGTTTAAGGGGTGAGCACACACTTACTGATCATCATTTGAAAAGCTCAACATCTCTGTATTTATGCTCTCAAAAACTTTGACACCACAAATAACTAATCTGTGACAACTAGTATTTATACCCAAGTTCATTGTAAACTTTGACTTCTCAATCTCATTGTTAAGAGGCAGAAAAATAACTTTATTAAAGCCTGAATTCTTTCTTAATCTGAAACATGTTAGTCTGGAGATTTAAACTTGTGTCCTCTCACAGAGTTGGTGATTAAAACTAAACTTTCATCTCTGTCAGAGAAAACTGATCTGAGTTCAGACTGTTTACGTACAGCACAGCTACACTCACAGATAACTGAGCCTCCTACCTGCCTGTCAAACCACATCAAACCATAAACCTTCTCTAGTCTGGACTGAGTGGAGTCAAGCAGGGATCAGCTGTGAGGTCCAGCTGCCAGTGGCTACTTGCTCCACTGCCGTTCAACAGCTAACAAGTGGAGCTAACTGCTGACAGCCACCACTGCCTTTCCATGCTGACATTGAGCGAGAGCCAGGGTACACCCTGGACATGTCGTCAGACTATCAGGACACTTCATCTATGAATCGATTCACTAAATTTCACACTAGTGGGTTCTCCTTGAACTTTAACTTAAGTTAATAAACCTGGCTCACTTTTAACTGGGTAAATTGCCATGGTAACCTGTGCTACACAGATTAAATTTTCCTATTACATCACTGGAAAAAAATGAGTCATCATCCCTACTGGATACTGAGAGTGAGAAAAGTACAGAGTATACGGTATGGTTACAGGCAGAGTTGGGTAAGGGTTACTTTAAAAGTAATCAAAGTACTTTACTGCGTTACTTTTTTTTTTAAAGTAACCAGTTACTTTACTGCATTAGTCTCTGAGTAAGGTAACTCAAGTACTTTTAAAGTACTTTTGAGTATTCTACATTTCCTATTGGGCAATGGACCACAGGGCACTAAGCCTACATTTTTTTGTCTCCAAAATTAAAGTTATGGACCACTTGCCCTTCACTGAGATCCAGTTCTCCCATCACAGCTGTCACTCTGACCAGTAGAAACACAGAACGATCTGTTGCCGTAGACAACTGTATGACAACAACACCCCAGCGTTTTTAATATTTCCTCTAGGAATGTTACCACACAGAGCAAAAGGGGGAACTGATGGTATGAAACAGCAGAGGCACTTTATCAACCCGGTGAGTAATGTTACTGTCTTTAGCATCAAGCTTGCAAACAATGTTACATCCTCATGGAGACGGACATAAAGTAATAACATTAACAAATAGTGCTGGGGCTTTTACTCACCACAACTGCAGAGGCTACCAGCTTCATTTGAAACAGACTACATTATAGACGGTCCGTTATTTATTAATCCCTCTGTGTTTTTATATTCTTACTTTTTATCCGCTCCTGTTGTCTTGATAAAGTTAACACATTGCGCTGTCATTTCAAACTCAACACTTCCTGAATTTCTTTCAAATTAAAAGCCCCTTCTAACCTTGGCTGGGAGAATCCCTCCATTTTCACCCTGAGGTCCTTGCTTCCTACTGTGCACTAATTTCTTTATCACCTGCGTTTAACAAAAAAACAGAAAATAAATGGTCTTAACAGATGTCATTCTGACAGAAAAACAGTTTTTTTGTTGTTTTATTTTTGGAATAGCTCATCAGTGAATAAAGTGATCCTTTTAAGACACATTGTTTATGTATTTTGCATTGTATTTGTCATCAGGACTCAAACTATCCTCCATTTCTTAAGAATCTCCAGAAACCAGCATGTTGAAAACTTCAAGACATTAATATTCTGTGTACATAATCAGTAGGATGTATTATATTATATATTATTGCATCATGAGAAAATCAAGTTATAGTATTTAAACAGTATTTTGCTATTCATTTCTGGTGACATTCAGATCCACTGTCCATTCCAATGGACGAATATTAAAAGAAAAAAAAAAAAGTCCTGAGGAAGCCATACAGGTTTCATATGACATGTAGAAGTAATAACATGTCATGTTTACTTTAAACACAGTTTAAACACAAATTATGTACTTAAACAATATGATTAATACATTGAAGTGTGTATGATATGATATGATATGCACATATAATTTGGAACACTGGTTGGCTTATCAATATCACATCAAATAAGTCAGTACATGTGGTTTGACTCAGATGACAGTGATCACAGATGTTGACACTCCAGAAAAGTTATGTCCATTGGAATGGGTGGAGGATCTGGATCAACAGAGATTACTGTTTGCAATACTGACAGCCCGACAAATGTCAGTTGGAGTTGCATATGAACCTTTTTTTTTTTTCAAATTGGCTTTACTTACTCATTGTTTGGGCTCCCTAAGACCACACTGTAGTATGTTTCAAAATAATAACAATTTGCAAAAGAATGTCTAATTTCATGATAGTGATAATGCACTGAAGTGTTAATCATTCAATGTTTGATGAAGGTGACAAACCTGATCACAAATCTATATATTATATTATAATGTACACTTGTATCGTGTTTGGAGGTGCTGCATAAAACGTTCTGTCAACACCCATTTCATAAACGGAGCAGATGAAAATCTTTTGCATTTAACAGCCAACAGGAGTAATGAGTCACAAGTACCTTCAGAGCAGAGTATGTGTAGGGATAATGGTAGGCCAGGTAGCACACATCCTCATTGTGTTCGAAGGTGATGGTAAAGGTCAAAGTATAAAAGGTTGTTCTCCTTTTGCACTGGGCCGGACAAAAGTTGTTTCTGAAGGAGAAAATACAGGGAGTTACAAAGTTACATATACATTATATTATATGTAGGGATCAAGTTGCCATCTTAACTTTTTACTTTCTATAAATCTTTCCAAGGACTGAGCCCAATCTCTGCAGTCTGATAAAGTATTGTTATTTGGTCTGCAACTAAAAAAAATTATATGTGTGCATTTCATTCATACCTGTAATAACAAATTTCAGTCCCAGTCCTGACCCAGTGGGGTCTACCTTCCAGAGCTTCCTTTACTGAGTACAGCACCGGCTGCATTCCTGCAGCACACACACACACACACACACACACACACACACACACACACACACACCATCAGGAGCAAGTTGAGATTCAGTATTTTGCCCAAGGACACTGATGTTCTGATAAGTGGGTGACCCGCTATACCTCCTGAGCCACAGCCACCTGATATAATGCATGCTGGATATAGTTTATACTTTAGAGTTCATTTCTGCACAATTAAAAGCCAAAAAATGCAAGAAAAATGAATAAGGAAATACAGTACAGGGAGAGGCAAAAAACCCAGAGTGCTTATTTGAAGCCTCCACCTAATACAATTTTCACAAAGATATTAAGAGCTCAAAGTACCAAAAGATGAAGAGCAATACATGAAATAATGCAAGTGGTAACAAACTACTAATAGCAAAATATGTTTGATTGAAAGTCGTTGGGAACATAGATTCGGGCTTCACACTGAGGCACCAAAAATGTTAGGATTTAAATTTGGGCTTCACACGGCGACACCAAATATGTTGGGGTCAACACATTAGGTCTCACCAAGGGACACCAAATATGTAGGGATTTAATTGGCTATCGGAAATAATTAATAATTATTATTAATAATTAATAATCATGTTAAATAATGTGATTTAATTAACATTAAATCACCTCGTGGGGCACCATTCCCGTAAAGGGAAAAATGATAGCCAGTTAAAGATATCAGTCTCATAAAATACGCTAAACTATTAATTTGGAGTTTGATTAATAATTAAATTAAGGACAACAACCAAAATTAACAGTAACGCCTGAAGGATCTGGGAGTTCTTGACGCAGCAGAGGTTGACTATTCATTCACTCTTGTGCAACATTAAACAGACAGCAGGTATGATTCCAAAGAATTATATTTATTCACAAACTGGCAAAGCAAACCAAAACACACAAATTCTAACTAACTATATACAAGCTTGGTGTGTATATATGTGTGTGTGTGTGTGTGTGTGTGTGTGAGAGAGAGAGAGAGAGAGAAGAGAGAAGGACAAGGCCGTTTGGCCTACAAAACAATATGGCTGACAACAGAGAACTACCAAAATGGCCGAATCAAAGCTGGCATCAGATCGGGGGAGGTGTTTGTCTGACCATGTGGTCAGGACAAAGACAAAGGAAAAGAAGCGGGAACATTGAGATGCCTGTTTGGGTGTAGCCGTGTTGAAAGCCTATTTGTTAATGAGTCTGTGTCAATGTGACGTGTGTTGCAAACGGTCTGGATTAATGCAGAGATTGTTTAGTTGGGTGCAAGAATCTGTTTGTGAATAGTATTAGCAAACTAAACACTTAGCTTTGGCGAAGCCAACTAATCAATGACCTAACTGCAAACTATCACAACAATAACTCAATGACAGCATTAAATCACATACAACAAGTTAAACACTCTTGCTTAGCCTGTAAAGCTGTGATAAGCTATGCCCAGTTGTTACGTTACTGACCCTTGAATGGATGGGAGAAAGAGTCACTTGGTGGTGTGCTGCTTTGTTAGCCGGCAGAAGAAGGCTGAGAAGAACTGTGGTTTCAGCTGCAGTCTTTGTTGTGTCCTTTGTTCCAAAGGTGAAACTCCGAGGAAGCTGGTCACTCAGGGTTTACCAGAGTTAGATGCTGGGTGCTAACTCACTTGGATCAATTGCCCTCCCTTTAGTGGTTTGGGCTATGGAGCAAGGGTCTGGGCCTCTGTGCTGCTCCAGGCCAAGCCAGAAAGAGGTGTGAGCTGCTCAGCAGCTGGAGCAAGAGAGAGAAGGCTTGGAGGGAGCAGACCTTCTACAGGGTTTGGTGACATTACAGAGAGGCATGTCACTGTAACAGTACTGTCCAATCAAGTTGTGAGACTTGTGTCTCACTGAGGTGTGAGGTGAGACCTCCTGGAGATGGGTGTCAAATAGTTGTCTTTGTGTGGAGAACAAAGAGCATGCAGAGGAAAAAGCCTTTAAATGTCCAGTGATGATTTTACCAAATGATAAATCATCTGTGGTCCTGTGAATCGTTGTTAGTGTAATTAGGCAGGCGCGCATGCGTGCGAAGGTCAAAATTTAGCTGGCATGATTGAGTGTAACAGCCAGTTCATTACTGGTGTAAACTATGAACTAACACAAAAATGACAATAAGCAGCATAAACCACCATGTTGTGAGAAGACACATTATAATCACTGATATAAAGTCACATTTGCCTTTTGGAACATAAAACAGCAAATTTAAATACAAACTACGAATTACTCAGTCCAGCACTTGGCATAATGGGAAATGTGGGTGTCACTACTGTAGGGAATCTACTGGGTCTTATAAAAAAGCAGTACTATTTGTATTGTATCTATAACAATATTATGTGTCAAACGGGGACACCAGAATGTTGTGATCTAGGCACCAGTGCTATGTTTTACATGGCGGCAGCATTTGTTGGGACTTAAGCCTTAACACGGGTCTGACCTTGTAATAGATCTCAAATTAAAGAATCAAATTGGCTATCTGAAATTATTAATAATAATTATTAATCATGTTAAATAACGTAACTTAATTTATATTAAATCACCTCATGGGGCACCATTCCCAAGAAGGGAAGAATGATAACCAATTAGTGGTATGAGTCTCAAAAAGTTTACTAAACTATCAATTTGGAATTTAGATAAATAATTAAATAAATATTACCCAAATTACTACATTAATAGTAAAGCCTGAAGGATTTTGGAGTTCTTAACATAGCAGAGATTGACTATTTATTTACTCTTGTGCAACATTAACAGACAGCAGGTATGTTTCCAAAAATATATTTATTTATAAAGGAAGCAAAACAAAACGAAACACACAAATTCTAACTAACTAACTAACAATATACAAGCGTGTGTGTCTGTGTGTGTGTGTGTGTGTGTGTGTGTGTGTGTGTGTGTGCGCGCGTGCGTGAAGGGGATAATAGTTTATACTGTGTCGACCCTTGAGCAACAGTAAAAATGCATCACAACGAGGGAAACAAATTAAAACTTTGACAATAATACAACAGGAGGAAAACCCATTACAAAACAGCAGTTAAATGTTTTTTCAAGCATCTTTTGTAACACTTTATAGAGATACAGGTTTTTACCAGGTGGACAAAAATCATTCCATAGTTTAGTTCCCCTAAATCTTATTGAATTTGACCTCTACAAGTCAGAAATTTAGCAAGATGAAGATCTGATGATTTAAGCATGAATGTAGTCATGAATTAGATATAAAATAAGTTGTGATTCCTCATTTCAGCTGCTAAATATCTACTGTACATTTAAAATGGTAAATAGACCTGCACTTGGATAGCGCCTTTCTAGTCATCTGACCACTACACTACAAGTCACATTCACCCATTCACGCACACATTCACACACTGGTGGCCGAGCCTACCATACTAGGTGCAATGACCTATAATGCAGCTACTGCTTTTTAAACACACTCACACTCCAATGGAACAGCCATTGGGAGCAATTTGGAGTTCAGTAGCCTATAGTGCTCAAGGACACTGCGACATGCTGACTGTAGGAGCTGGGGATCTAACTGCTGACCTTCCGATGAGTGGACGACCCGCTCTACCTCAATCAATCAATCAATCAATCAATCAATCAATCAATCAATCAATTTTATTTATAAAGCCCAATATCACAAATCACAATTTGCCTCAGAGGGCTTTACAGCATACGATATCCCTGTGTCCTTTGGACCCTCACAGCGGGTTCGGAAAAACTCCCCCCCAAAAAAAACCTTTAATGGGGGAAAAAATGGTAGAAACTTCAGGAAAAGCAACTAAGGAGGGATCCATCTTACAGGACGGACAGACGTGCAATAGATGTCGCACACAACAGATCAACATAAATTTACAGTGATCCATATGACAAAATGAATGAATGAAAATGAAAGCTCCCAAACCTTTACGACTTCAAAAGTAATGATATAAACATTACTTCCTCACTCAGACATTCCCCAAATCATTATTAACACTATTAACTCAGAGAACACCAGGAGCTGTACTCATCAGAGCTCTCACTTACATTTTAAAGCCACAGTGTGTAGGAATTTCTCCCATCTAACGTTGAAATCATATATTGTATTCAAACAGATGGCGCACTCTAGCGCCTCACTGTTTCAAACACGTATTGCAACAACTGTAGCCGCTGTGTACCAAAAAGCTATGATAACACTGATGAAACCATGTCATCCGATACTACATGGAGTATTTATTAAGGATCCTACACAGACACACGCGATGCGAGTTGACAAACCCCTTCCTCACCATGGTGGCTGTGTTTACAATGTAGGACTGTTGGGGCGGATGTAAATTGAAACAAACCGATCACATCTTGTCTTTTGACAACTGACAAGTGGCTCAACCTCACACATCTCATCCCTCTCCTCGCATCACTGCACCGCTAACAGCTGTTAGTGGCCAGCAGCACTACTGCCGCATAACAAAGTCCCACTCTTTGAGCATAATGCAGGATCATGTATTATGCAGCATCACGGGAGACGGAATCCTCGTCGCCAAGAAAGTGCAAAAGGGAATCAAAAAGGCAGCGTGACCGGCAAATTAAAAAAACAAGGGTCAGCATTGGGGTTGCCTTTCCCAGGTGGAGAGAGCTGCTGAAGGAGAAAGGTAGTGGCCAGTCGCTAACAGCCTCATCCCTCTCCTCGCATCACTGCGCCACTGTTAGCCGCTGTTAGCTGCTGTTAGCACTGGCCTGTGATTGCATTACCATTCTCCCTCAGCAGCTCTCTCTACCTGGGAAAGGCTACTCCGATGTGGGCCTTCGTTTTTTTAATTCACCAGTCACGCTGCCTTTTCTATTCCCTTTTGCGCTTTCTTGGCGACAAGGATTCCGTCTCCCATGATGCTGCATATGCATGATTCTGCATTATGCTCAAAGAGTGGGACTTTGTTTCAAATTTGCCAGGGTAGTAGCGAAGCGTCTCTTGCTCCTCTCCTTCGGCTCCTCAGTCACGCAGTGCTGGCCTGGCTCTCAACGAAAATGCCGAAGGC